AATAATGTACGATGTACAAAAAAACGTCATTAATGTACCATGAACACAAAAAAACGTCATTAATGTACCATGAACACAAAAAAACGTCATTAATGTACCATGAACACAAAAAACGTCATTAATGTACCATGTACACAAAAAAACGTCATTAATGTACCATGTACACAAAAAACGTCATTAATGTATCATGTACACAATAAAACGTCATTAATGTATCATGTACACAATAAAACGTCATTAATGTATCATGTACACACAAAAAACGTCATTAATGTATCAAGTACACACAAAAAACGTCATTAATGTATCAAGTACACACAAAAAACGTCATTAATGTATCAAGTACACACAAAAAACGTCATTAATGTATCATGTACACATAAAAACGTTATGAATGCATCCTGTACACATTACGTAAAGCATCACGGTTCTCACAAGGTATGATAGTACTATGCATAGAGACAGCACAACAGGACAACGACATATTATCTAAATTAGAAGCAGAAACGGGAAAAACAACGTAAAAGACAGAACATTTTAAAGAGTGAGAGACTAACAGAAACAGCAAACCGCCAGCAAACTCTTCAACCGATCTCTACCCAGAAAGCAAAATGTTTTAGGAAAGAAGAAAAAACTGTTTCAATTCTTTCACAAATTGTTCCTAAATTATGTATCTTTTCTGACATTTTATTTTCAACATTTAGAATTTGGATTTTGACAAAACATTTTCTGAATATATGCAACCGAAACTATAAATTATAATATGACACTAAGAAAACACCTTGAGAAAGAAAAGTTTCAAAATTTTAGGTTTAGTACAACTAAACAGCTGGCTGACAAAACAGGTCCGAAAGTGACTTAAATTCGTTGACGTCCATTCTTACAGCAGTGTGGTGCCCTCTCTCTGCCCGTTGGGGATCTCGCCTGGAGAAGGTCTGCAAGTCAGAAGACAAATCAACTTCAGTAAGGAACCCTGAAAGTGAACGCATGCGGTAAAGAGTTAGTCACAAGCAAACCAAAGCAAACCACAGCAAAACAAAGCAAAGCCAAGCAAAGCCAAGCAAAACAAAACAAAGCAAAGCAAAGCAAAGCAATGCAAAGCAAAGCAAAGCAAAGCAAAGCAATGCAAAGCAAAGCAAAGCAAAGCAAAGCCAAGCCAAGCAATGCAAAACAAAGCAAAACAAGCATGGCAGAGCAAACGTTAAGTTTTTAGTGAGGGTTTTACGACATTTGCAACACAATAAGGTCATAAATATAAGTGCCAAAGATTAGAGGTGTCACAAGAGAGTAACAAACACAAAAAAGAAGGAAGATAGATGTTTGATAGGAAAAAAGAAGGAGCAAACTACACCAGAGCACCCGCCAACCACCCAATAGAGCAAACGTTAGAGCTTGTCAAACATTGTATACTACTACAAAACGAGCCACTTCATGAAAATCTACGCACAATACTATTTAGATCAGTACTAGCCAACCTGGGCATGTGCGATATCGCCGAATACAGGGCGTGGGCGATCTGAATAATTTTTGTGGGTGGTGGGTATCATCCTGGGTAGTGACAGATATTGTTTATTGGGAATCATCTGGGTAGTGACAGATATTGTTTATTGGGAATAATCTGGGTAGTGACAGATATTATTTATTGGGAATCACCCGGATAGTGACAGATAGTGTTTACTGGGAATTATCTGGGTAGTGACAGATATTGTTTATTGGGAATAATCTGGGTAGTGACAGATATTGTTTATTGGGAATAATCTGGGTAGTGACAGACATTGTTTATTGGGAATAATCTGGGTAGTGAAAGATATTGTTTATTGGGAATAATCTGGGTAGTGAAAGATATTGTTTATTGGGAATCACCCGGATAGTGACAGATATTGTTTATTGTGAATATTCTGGATAGTGAAAGATATTGTTTATTGGGAATCACCCGGATAGTGACAGATATTGTTTATTGGGAATAATCTGGGTAGTGACAGATATTGTTTATTGGGAATTATCTGAGTAGTGAAAGATATTGTTTATTGGGAATAATCTGGGTAGTGACAGATATTGTTTATTGGGAATCATCTGGGTAGTGAAAGATATTGTTTATTGGGAATCACCCGGATAGTGACAGATATTGTTTATTGGGAATATTCTGGATAGTGAAAGATATTGTTTATTGGGAATCACCCGGATAGTGACAGATATTTTTTATTGGGAATAATCTGGGTAGTGACAGATATTGTTTATTGGGAATTATCTGAGTAGTGAAAGATATTGTTTATTGGGAATAATCTGGGTAGTGACAGATATTGTTTATTGGGAATCACCCGGATAGTGACAGATATTGTTTATTGGGAATATTCTGGGTAGTGAAAGATATTGTTTATTGGGAATCACCCGGATAGTGACAGATACTGTTTATTGGGAATAATCTGGGTTGTGAAAGATATTGTTTATTGGGAATAATCTGGGTTGTGAAAGATATTGTTTATTGGGAATAATCTGGGTAGTGACAGATATTGTTTATTGGGAATAATCTGGGTAGTGACAGATATTGTTTATTGGGAATCACCCGGATAGTGACAGATATTGTTTATTGGGAATAATCTGGGTAGTGACAGATATTGTTTATTGGGAATATTCTGGATAGTGACAGATATTGTTTATTGGGAATAATCTTGGTAGTGAAAGATATTGTTTATTGGGAATCACCCGGATAGTGACAGATATTGTTTATTGGGAATATTCTGGATAGTGAAAGATATTGTTGAATGGCTTCCTGGAAATACATGTAGTTGTGCTGTGTAAAAAATGTAGCCTCTTAAAGGTGGCAAAAGTGGGCGCTGGCTATAAAAAGGGTTGACACACTTTATCTAGATGGTTTCCATTGACAAGGATAAAGGCGGTTTCAAAATATAAAATGCAAGTTCAGACATTGACGAAGTTATTATTATTATTATCATTATTATTATGAGTGGTGAAAAACAACCTCTCTCCTCCCTCACAACTTCATTAATTGCACTTTGAAATAAAAGAAAACAAATCGATATAATATGTTATAAATCATAGCTTTATTATTAGAAAAGTATAAGAGAAATCCTAAGTTTGCTTGTAAACATAATATCACATTGTCTTCCATTTGGGCCTTTTTCATGTTCATGCATCTTTTTTTTTCCAGTAATCTTGCACAGACAATGACACAAGTATGGCTTGATAAGGCAGCTCTGAGACAGGGTTATTACGGCTCCAGTTCTACCCTTGTGGGAAAACCGTTATTAATAATGTACGATGTACAAAAAAACGTCATTAATGTACCATGAACACAAAAAAACGTCATTAATGTACCATGTACACAAAAAAACGTCATTATGTGTGTGTGTGTGTGTGTGTGTGTGTGTGTGTGTGTGTGTGTGTGTGTATATATATATAAGAGCTATGTTGTGGCGTTTTCTTGTATTATGTTCTTTTGTTGTTTAGCAGAATCAGTCAGTGGGTGGTTGGCGGGTGCTGTGGTGTGGTTTGCTCCTTTTTAAAATAATAATAATAATAAACAGCATTTGTATAGCGCATAGCCCCGCTCAGCAGCAGGCTCTATGCGCTTTACACTATGTTATTACCCCAGCAGACCATAAAACACTAAGAATCATTCTCAGCTTCCCGGGAAGCTGTCGTCATAATCTCTCGTCCTTTTCTTTATTCATTATTTTATAGTGCCACCTCTAATCTTTTACCCTAATATGGTCTCCTCTACTTCTCTTTCAAGTGCCATAAAACTCTTACTGAAACTGAAGAATAATTCGCCAGTGTTTTCTTTTTTTCCATTGTTCAGTATACTTTTGAGATATAATTGCTGAATGATGACTAAACAATACTATGACTGTAACATCTTTTTTATTCGCTCCGTGTGTACACGTGTATGTGTGTGTGAATGTGTGTGTATGTGTGTGTGCATGTGTGTGTGTGTGCGTGTGTGTGTGTGTGTGTGTGTG